CTACATACCTTATTTTTGATATGGCACCTCATGTGAAATATGTTGTCGCATTGTACTTCATCATCTTCTTTGGCTTGCACATTCAAAGCATGCTTGGTGATGAGTAGTTCTCCATCAACGGCATATTCCACGCCATCATTAGCATATTCTAATGGTGGCATAAAGTCATCATCAAATTCACCCTCGGTTTCAATTTCTCCATCCTCTCTCAAGAGCATTGTGTGCTTATTAGGACATTGCGATGCAACATGCCTTCTTCCCAAGCATCGAAAACACTTGATGTCTTAGTTTCTACCTTGCATATTGTCGGTTTTACTCTTCTCACTGCTGTTAACGTCTATTGACTTAGATGCTAAAGTTTTAGGCTTAAAAGCTGAATTTTGCTCCAATTCAGTTTCCAAGAAGATGAGGAACTTGAATTTTGCCCAGTTTTGGTGGTGGCTTTTTTACGCTTGAGTTGTTGTTCTACTTTCGTCGCCATGTGCACCATATCTTCTAATTTCACATAATGGTGTAGCTCCAGCACAATAGCTATATCATGATTTAAACCATGCAAAAACTATGCCATGCTTGCTTTTCTGTCCTCTTCCACATTCGCTCTAACCATTGCAATTTCCATCTCTTTGTAATAATCCTCAATGCTTTTGGACCCTTGAGTAAGGCCTTACAACCATTGATAGAGATCGTGGTAGTAATGGAACAAACTGTTTTCTCAACATAGCTTTCATCTTTTCTCAAGTGTCAATAGGATCTCAACACAGCTTTCATCTTTTCTCAAGTGTCAATAGGATGCTCACGATTTCTACGTAGACTAAGCACAAACTGATCCCACCACACCATAGCATAATCAGTAAATTCCACCATTGTTAGTTTCACCTTTTTCTCCTTAGAATAGTTATGGAAATCAAACACCAACTCCACCTTCTTTTCCCACTCCAAATACACACCTGGATCATTTTTGCCTTGAAATGGAGGAATCTTCATCTTGATGCTACCTAAGTCATGATCTTGCCGATCTCCCCACCTTGGCAAATTTTGCTCTCTTTGGTTAAACCTACCTCTTTGGCCCTTTTTACCTCTCATAATTCTTTCGATGCTGAAATTTGAGTTTTGGCCATCATTTTTGAATGCATCTTCATAATTGTCATCGAAATCGTCATTTGCATCATTCCTATGCAAATTCGGACTTCCATTCTTTATTTGGTATAACTTGGCTATGGCTGCATCTTGCTTCTCCATTTTGTCTTTAATCTCACCAAACATGATGTCTAGCCTCTGAAATTGTAGTTGCATTGCTTTGAGCATGAAGGATTCATCCACACGGTGTTTTCTAGTGGTTGAGTTATTATCATTGCTCAACATGATTGAAAACTGCAAGGAATGATAGAAACTAAATAAAAGGACCTCACAACACTCCCTTACTTGTTTCACTCCACTCTCTTGCGAAATGGCACTCAACGCTCATGTTTTGCACACTGTAAAACTTGGCTTTTCTCTCAAGTGTTGCTCTCACCTCTTGCCTTTTTCCCTCACTCAACTTTCCTTTTTCAGTTCATTATTGAACTAAACAAGCTCAATTCAAGTGATTTTGTAGCAATCTAACTCCAACAAAGCTGCAACGAGAGTTAAAAGAAATGGAAAAACATGAAGGAACGAATAAGAAAAGCAATAAAAGAACCAACCCAAACAAATTAAAACAAGAAAAGTGAAATTTGGTTGAAACACAATGCAAGAAAGACAGATCAGTTTAACACTTTCTAGTAGGAATTGACTTAACTATTCCTTAATGGGGTAGGATTCCTAACTTAGGAAGAAATAAACAAAATTGCTAACTCCTTATTTGAACAAAATTGAAAGAGAATTTCCAACTCCTTGTTATAGTAGGATTCCTTCTTTTTTAAAGATTTTGCCAAAGATTTCTTCTCTATATAAGGAATTTAACCATAGTCTTGTGTGGTTTATTTCTCTCTCTCCTTTTTTTTTCTTTTTTTTTTT